GTTTGCACTCTTACAGCGAAGCTGAAGATCATAGCGCGCGCGCAGAAGCGCGGAAAAAAAACATCATCAAAACTATCATTCTTGTCACAGAAAAGCATTCCATTTTAGTAACAAGCTCTATATCGATCGTCGATTCCCTATGTGATTGTTCTCTTCACTAACACCAAGGGATAATGCATCGGCACAGTGATACTTTTGAATTCGGAGCCGTTGGTAAGAACCAAGTATGCAATATCCTTCATTGTATAAAAGCATATGCTTGTTAAAGAAACGCCTAAAAAAACTGCTTAGATCTGTCAGTCATCACGCGTACGGTCGGACACACGATGTAATAACCATTATTTTATGCTTGGAGAAGTGATTTTCTCTAGCAAACTAACAATAATCAAGCCAGACATTCTAGCAAAGACCAAGCCGGACTTAATCACACACTTCAGTGGTTACAGAAACATCGAAGAGCTGTTGTTCTTCAGTATAATAATATTGCAGTAATTATCCCAATTCCACAATATGCCAGAAACGGTCTATCGAGATTCGATTCCCGACTAACGGAATAAATCCATTACAACAAATAACTACGAAACATTTGTATTATCTGCTAAGCATATGTTAAGGCAAACACAGAGAAAAATATAAGTCAAGTATGTAATTTCGAAGAAGAAGTGAGTGACAAAACCTGGAAAAAATCAATGCAGTAGAGGTATCTTCTGGAGCCGCAATATACAAAAATGTTTCCATTGGATTTCCTACACCCTCTGTAAACAAAAAATAAATATTCATGAATACACTCTAATAAGATTCGAAAGCTTCGAAATCCATACACTCAACAATTCTTGAAAATCTTCGTCAATATAAAAATTAAACTCTGGTTTCATCAAACCTAATTACAAAACTGAAAGAAAAATGAAATGTAAAAATTGGAAGATTGAAGGCCTACAATAAATAGAACGTGGCGAGACAATTAAGCAAGGAGTAAATAAAAATGTAAAATGCAATTTATTGCTTAAGGGCTTAGAGTATAACTTTCACAAACCAAATATATTTGTAAGAAAAGGCTGCGCAGCTTGAAAACAAATCCAAAATTTTAAATCTGCACAAGGCCACAAACGTCATAAAAATATTACTTTATCCAGACAACCCAAGTGAATACAATCATGCAGTTTTGAAAGTTTTGGATTGACATTGAAGTCGATTTTTTATAGTCATTACAAATACTCGGGTTATGAACTTTTTTTTCTATAAAGCTTGCGAGGATTTGGTGTTCTTCAATATCGAAAATCATTACAATAGTTCAAGATCTAGCTTGGAAACACTCAGTGTCGCTTAAGTACTTTTCTACAATTTTATCCCAAAACAGCGCCATTTTTATAAAGCAAAAACTCGAAACAATCCGGAAAACCAAACTGAACTCCATCATGTTTGCTTTAATTAGGCTATGAAAATACAAGTATTTTGCAGTACCAGTGGGAAATGAACAAATGTGCCATTGGCTATATTCCGCAGGGAAAAATTATAATATGGCTCGGTCTCAATCACTTCTACGATAAGTAATTGCAAAAGCTTCGAAAATTTGCATTGAAAATTTTAACTATACGTTGGCGATTTTGCCTGATATGAATTTTGAGTGGAATATCTTTTACGTGATTATCTATTAGAATTGAGAGCAGTTCCGATCGCCTCGATCGTTGAGGTCAATAAAAAATATATCATGAATATGCAACATTTGTCTCGCGAGGAAAAAATAAAGCTTTCCGCTTGCTTTTCAATCATTGTCATTGACAAAATTGTCATTATGATTGCACCAGACTCGAATGCGAGTAGATCGTATGTACATTTCATTACAAATTTAAATACAAACTGAAATTAAAACCAAGTGCTTAGACTAACATCATCTATAGGAACTGAATCTTTCAAAATTTGTTGCCACTAATTAAATGCACCTAAATGCCACTAAACGTGCGTCGGGCGCTCTCCGTTCTCGCAGCTACGAAGCCGTTACTGCGTATTTTAAAGTGATTTTTTTAATATTTAAGTGTGCGCTTCACTTATACCGCAGCTGACATGAGGCACAAGCAAAGGCGACATGACGCTATACCCATCCACTGTCGTGGGCGAATACGAACTCGGATCATTAGAAGAATCGCTAATAATTTCTGGCAAATTATCGTCATCAACAAAACCGCTGTCCTTTATCTTTTCAGCTCTTGTAGCTTGCTCTGCTATATCGAGGCTTGAGTAACTTCCTTGTGAAGAAAACTGAAGAGAGTTGGGCAGAAATTCGAGCTGGTCACTTCCCGCGTACGCCATTTCTATGCAAGCACTGGGGAAATCCAGACAAGGTGTTAGCAGGCGAGGGTAATTGGTTATATATTTAACAATTTCAGATGCCGCTGGTCTTTTTTTGGGATTACGATTCCAACAGGCTCTTATAAGGCCCTTTAATTGTGGCTTCGCGTCAGCTGGCATTCTCAGGGTCTTACCATTTTTTACAAACTGCAAAACTTCACCATTCGTTAAACCCTGATATGGAAAGGAGCCAAAAGTTATGATTTCAAAGAGTACTACTCCAAAACCCCAAACATCAGAAAATGGGGTAAACATGCCCAATGCCAAAGATTCAGGTGCCATCCAGCGTACAGGTAACATACCTTTATGATTAAAACGATAATAATCACTTTCGTAAGTCGGACGAACCATGCCGAAATCACCGATTTTGACAACTCGTTTTGCATTTACCAAACAGTTACGGCAAGCTATATCACGGTGTACGTATTTCTGTTGAGCCAAATAATCCAAGCCATGCGAAATATTTAATGCAAACATTGTAAGACGTTTGCTAGATATATCCGAATCATCAGAAATAGTTTCGCTTACCAAATGCCGACGGGCAAGCAAATATGTTTTTAAATCACCATACAGCATATATTCCATTATAGTGTAAATAGGCTCTGATTGCAAGCAAACTCCCAAAAGTTTTACAATATTTTTGTGATTAAAACGTTTCATGGCTTCAGCCTCGGAGAGAAAATCTAAGCGATCTTCAGTAGAAGCGCCAACCTTTAAGGTTTTCACCGCCACAGCTGTCCAGTTTTCAGAATTAATTAACGCTTCACCACCGTAGACGGTTCCAAAAGCACCTTCACCCAAACGTCGATTGATTACCACATTTTCCTTAGGTAACTCCCATTTATCCAAAGTGTTAGCAATGCTACGGGAAGGCGAAAATATATCAATTCCAAAATTTTTCATTATTTTCGCAGAGTGCTTCAGTTTTCAGAGCAAAACAAAAAACAACAACACTAGCAATTGTAGCCGAAACATTCACAGTAATAACAGCCAAGAAAATTTCGGTAGAATTAGTAACAACAGCCAATTCGGTAAACCTGAATTAGCGCAACTTCTTATAACCTACCAGCCAACAGCTCACTAGTAATTCATATCTTCATTGCAAAAATTACTGACCCATCGCATTTTGAACAAACACATAACACTGGACCTGTGGAAAATCAATTCGTAATCCTTGAACCTTAAGAAACTTCCAAATAAGATCAGAATAGCAACCGCCTGTCGAGTATCTCGATGTTCTAAAATGTGGGATTGCAGAGTTAGAGTTAGTAGACTGCACATTTCACAACTTTTTTATGTCTAGGAAGCGAGTCCTTAAAAAATACGGATTCGTAAAAAATTATCCGAAAAATAAATTAATCATTAACGATCAGTGTATGACAAGAAAAGCCATGGCACGTAACTTTCCCTCAGCATCAATAACATACGTGCTACAGAAGCAAGCATGATTGTGATCACTACGAGAAACTTCGTATTGCTTATCGAACGACATGCGACATACGAAAAGGCAGAGATTCTAGAAATGATAAAAAAAAGAACACAAGATATTCTAGCAAGCTAGCTAGCTCACCACCACCAATAACATTCACACACACAAATGCGGTCAAATACGACGTAAAAACAACAGACGTTGTGCCTATTTTCACAAATTCATACCTTTACCAAATATAAGACATATTGCATAACGAAGTAACTTGACATAGCAAGTTAACGTACTCTGGTCCAATACGGATAGTTAAGAAGCAGGCAGACGTAAACGAAAAAAAAGGACAGACTGGTGTTTGATTGACTGAACAATCAAGAAATTATTCACTACAATTAATTTAGCTTAGCTATTAAACCGAAATCCAGGAAACCATGTTTCGCCACAATTGAGATATATCAATTCGTAACAATGCCTTTCCATCTGATGACGATGGAAATCATATGTACCTTGTACAACATTCACAACTCCCTTCCAAAGCGAGGTATCAAAGGTATCGGCAACATTTTTCTATTGAAAGCTGAAAAAGCTAATCTGAAAACTCAGCTAGACAAATGGGAATTCGTCAAAATCGACTTCCGAGGGCACAGAATCATTCAAGGGTAAATAATCCCAAATCCTTGCAAGGCTGGATTCGTGCTTAGTCTTTTGACAACAAACACTCCAAAATAAGTCAAACAATTTTTCAGATCAACGAAATGTTACTGAAAATTTACGGAGACAAAACTTAGGACTAAATATTTGGTAAAGGATGCAAGACTTCAAATCAATGGCCGCTTGATAGACACAAACAGATATGTCTTACTCTATATCGTACTCTATGCACCAGTTGGGACCCGTCCGTTTTGTTTCCACACAAGGGAATGCAAAGAAAAGTTACTCGGTCATATGTGTCGGTCATCGGCAAAAGTAATGAGAAGATAAAGTGCTAAAATTCAGGTCCCTTCTATTCATCAAGACAATATTAGCCATAAACTATACAGTAGCTATAAATTGTAACAGAAAGAGTAAAAATTGTTTAAAAAAAATTGGAAACAGGAAACGTAGCGAAAATAGTTTTCTTAAAGATACCAGCTAAAGACATGACAAGCTTCCTAGAGCGGTAGTGGTTCAAACGACCACTCGCATTTAATACTGCAATGCGAAATACTCTTCGGAACAAATATCATCAATTCTAAATATCTATAGATATAATCAAAGACATGAGTCATTTATACGTCAACATCTATACAAAAGCCCTGTGAAGTTGGACGATTTTTCAACAACGACAGCAACTAGTGCCGTACTGCAAATGCAAACCTTAGTCAATTTGGAACTAATTGCCGCTTTCATTCAGCATTGTTTGTCTTGAGTTTGCACTCTTACAGCGAAGCTGAAGATCATAGCGCGCGCGCAGAAGCGCGGAAAAAAAACATCATCAAAACTATCATTCTTGTCACAGAAAAGCATTCCATTTTAGTAACAAGCTCTATATCGATCGTCGATTCCCTATGTGATTGTTCTCTTCACTAACACCAAGGGATAATGCATCGGCACAGTGATACTTTTGAATTCGGAGCCGTTGGTAAGAACCAAGTATGCAATATCCTTCATTGTATAAAAGCATATGCTTGTTAAAGAAACGCCTAAAAAAACTGCTTAGATCTGTCAGTCATCACGCGTACGGTCGGACACACGATGTAATAACCATTATTTTATGCTTGGAGAAGTGATTTTCTCTAGCAAACTAACAATAATCAAGCCAGACATTCTAGCAAAGACCAAGCCGGACTTAATCACACACTTCAGTGGTTACAGAAACATCGAAGAGCTGTTGTTCTTCAGTATAATAATATTGCAGTAATTATCCCAATTCCACAATATGCCAGAAACGGTCTATCGAGATTCGATTCCCGACTAACGGAATAAATCCATTACAACAAATAACTACGAAACATTTGTATTATCTGCTAAGCATATGTTAAGGCAAACACAGAGAAAAATATAAGTCAAGTATGTAATTTCGAAGAAGAAGTGAGTGACAAAACCTGGAAAAAATCAATGCAGTAGAGGTATCTTCTGGAGCCGCAATATACAAAAATGTTTCCATTGGATTTCCTACACCCTCTGTAAACAAAAAATAAATATTCATGAATACACTCTAATAAGATTCGAAAGCTTCGAAATCCATACACTCAACAATTCTTGAAAATCTTCGTCAATATAAAAATTAAACTCTGGTTTCATCAAACCTAATTACAAAACTGAAAGAAAAATGAAATGTAAAAATTGGAAGATTGAAGGCCTACAATAAATAGAACGTGGCGAGACAATTAAGCAAGGAGTAAATAAAAATGTAAAATGCAATTTATTGCTTAAGGGCTTAGAGTATAACTTTCACAAACCAAATATATTTGTAAGAAAAGGCTGCGCAGCTTGAAAACAAATCCAAAATTTTAAATCTGCACAAGGCCACAAACGTCATAAAAATATTACTTTATCCAGACAACCCAAGTGAATACAATCATGCAGTTTTGAAAGTTTTGGATTGACATTGAAGTCGATTTTTTATAGTCATTACAAA